TCGTCTTCTTCTTCTTCTTCTTCTTCAGATTGACAGTCCAGTCCTGAAATGTCCTAATCACTTTAAAAGTAAGTTCTATAAGAATTTCTAGTTTCATCCCTGCAAAATATACTTTATGTAAATGGTAATTATATGTTACAAAATTTTATTTTTTTTAATGATTTTAGGGGTACCCATAAAATTGATTTGATGTTAGAATATGGGTTTTGCTCAGTATATATATATATATATTTTAATCATAAGAGAACTTATTTTTTGCTTTTGGCTTTTTTTTTTCTTGCCCACACAAAAACAGAAGGCAGAGAGGCTGGTGTGGGGCTGCAGAAGCACTAGCAAGGCAGGGGAGCCTAAGTGTGGTGCTGTGGTTCACATCCTTTACAAGTCCATCAAGCCTATTCAAGCCTACCAACAACGACAACAGGTGATCACAGTTTTCTGCTTATTTCAAATTTTTAAGTATAGACCGCATCCTAATAAGAGCATTATATTTTGAACAATGTTTAGAATTTTAATTTTTATGCTCCCCTATGTTGTTGTTGTGCTTCGATCTCTTATGATTATTTTAATTGAGAGAATTTGAATTGTTCAAAATTCATTTCGTTTAAAGAACGTAATAAATTTGCCGAAACTTCTGATTCGATCATTGTATTTTCGCTAATACACTATGTTATAATTTTTTAAGATAATGCATTCTTATTTCTTAAAAAATATTTAGTTCGAGGTGTAGTTATTATGAGATCAACTTTTAAAAACAAAATTTCAAAATTCGCTATGAAATTTCGAATTTTAAGTATGGTTAGAAATATAGACTAGTAACACACCCTAATCAAAGCATTATATTTTGAACTTATTGGGTTTTTGGATGTTCCAAATTTCAATTTTGGTTTTTACATATGTATATATATATATATATATATATATATTTTTTAATGAAAGAAAGATTAGATTGTGTTCTAAACTGTTGTAATTATCTCAATTAAAAAAATTTAACTACTCTAAAATTTTTTTTTGTTTAAAAATATAATAAATCAATTATGATTTTTAATTTGATCATTGCATCTCTATCAACAAACTAGTAATAAAAGTTTTCAGTATTATTAACTTAAATATTATAATTTAATTACCGTTAATTCATTATATATTATTAAATAACAAGTTTTTTATCATCGATAAAATATATACACTTGATATTCAAATAAAATATAAAAATTTTAACTATAAAGAATATCGTATTATTAATACATATTCAATCTCTAATCAACATCACCTTTGACAATTTTATTTCTGGCCTTCTATGTTTGCACACCCAAAAAAAAAAAATATCTGATAGATTGGGAGAAAACCCAAAAAAAATTAGGAAAAGAAAAAAAAAAGAGACATTCAATCAATGCTAGAACCTTCGCCACTCAATAAAAATGCTCTAAACCTAATCCCTCTTTACCTTTATCAAGAAGAAGCAGTGATCTGTCTCAATTATGTAGTGGAGGGGTCACCATTGGAGTTCAATATTGGTTTAGACTTTCTCTCTTATAATTTTCCTATAAAAGGGGAAGCTACAAACCCCATCTTACACTTGTAAGCATACAACATACAAAAGCTAACTCTTAACACATACAACTTTTCTCTCCCTCATAACTCTCTTTCTCCCTTCTGCAACTTTGAGAAAAAAAAATGGTGAGCTTTAATGGTGATTTCACTTCGGTGTTCCAGATTTGCTCAATGGGTTTTCAAAGTTTTTCCTTCTGGGTACTTTGAAATTCTGTTGAGGAGTTTAATCTGTGCTGACAAACTCTGTGTATTTTGTCAGGAGAACAAGATGAGTTGGACTGTTGGTGATGCTGTGGACTACAAAGGTTTCCCTGCTGACAAGTCAAAAACTGGAGGCTGGGTTTGTGCAGTTATGATCTTAGGTCTGTTTTAATTTCTTTACATACATAGATACATACATATATACATATATATATATATATATATTCTTAGAGGCATGCAGTTTGCTTTCTATTTACTTTCTTCTGGGAGTCAAGTAAATGCATAAATAGCATATTAGCTTACTTGGAAATCAGACAAAGTTCTGCAGAATCTGCCATGAAAAGGAGCTTTCTTTGGCAGAGAGAGTAAATGGTGGTGTATATTGGATGCTGCAAGTTCTTTAATTTCCAGCATTAACACACACAGCTCGTGCTTAAAATGCTTTTCAACCATACTTTTCACAGAGTAACTAACAAGTTGGTATTTCATGCAAACAATGTTGCCCAAAAAGTCTAAACTAAATACATGAATGTTAAGCAATAAAATCTGCAAATAAAAAATATGTAAATTTTTTGTCTTAAGTTATCTCTAATCCATCTATCTATCTATCTAAAATGGAAAACTTTTTGTACAAGGAGAGGTTTATTAGTATTTAGATCACTGACACAACACATAGCACAAGGTCTCACAAGCCAGAAGAGGCCAAAGGTTAGTTCTTATAATTGCTGTCAATCCATGTTCTGAATTTTATTCAGTTTGATTCATTTTTAGTTTATTTTGGGTGGAGGAAGGGTTTTGAGGGGACAAACCACATGGGATCCTTTGGAACTCCAGCCCAATATACACATGTATACATATAATATCACATATGTATAGATGATGATAATATTTATGTCATTTTCTGTTTGGAGTTGATGGGATAAGGCAGATATTCTATGGGTCATTCATGCATGTGAATTAATCACTTATTTCATATTCCAAATCCAATCTCATCTCTACCACCATCTTCCCTTTTTATCTTATTATATATATATATATATATATGTAATTGCAAATATATATGTATAGCTCTACCTTTTTGAAACTTCCTCTTTTTCCTAACATTCCCTTTGATACCACCCAAAAAAGTTGAAAACTCCAAAGTTTGGGTTCTTATTAATTATTCTTTTAAGCACCAATAAAAACACCTTAACATAAAAGTATTTGACATGTGATTTGTGCTCTTCAATCATTTTCTTTCTCCCAAAATATGCTTACACCAACTTGGTAATTCATAAATTAATTAACCCTTTTTTTGGGATTTAATTAAAAAGAAAATTTGATTTATAAATTTAACATCTTTTTTTTTTCTTCATAAATTTACAGGTATCGAAATATGTGAGAGGCTTTCAACCATGGGAATTGCAGTTAACCTTGTGACATATTTGATTGGCACAATGCATCTGCCAAGTTCAGCCTCTGCCAACGTTGTGACAGACTTTATGGGAACCTCTTTCCTTCTCTGTTTGCTTGGAGGCTTCCTTGCTGACTCTTTCCTTGGCAGATATAAGACCATTGCCATCTTTGCAATGGTTCAAGTCCTGGTGTGTACTTACACCTCCTAATCTTAATTACTCTACTTTAGAGTACTAATTACCAATAAATTATCTTAATTAGTTTAGATTAGAGTACTAATTACCAAATAAATTAAGGAAAATTATCCCTTTCAATAACTTTTTAAGACCCAAGTAGTTGATTTTAAAAAATTTTAAGTTTAGCATTATTATTATTATTATTATTATTTGTATTTAGTAATTTAGAGTTTTGTATGATTCATATCAGGGAACAGGCGCATTAGCAGTAGCAACGAAGCTGTCACAGCTCCGCCCCCCTCCATGTCATGCAAATGAAGTATGCAAACAGGCATCTGGATTCCAAATGGGAATTCTATACATAGCCTTGTATCTAATAGCACTCGGCACCGGAGGTCTTAAATCAAGTGTATCAGGATTCGGAACAGATCAATTCGATGAGAAAGACGAAAAGGAGAAGTCGCAGATGGCTTATTTCTTCAATAGATTCTTCTTCTTCATTAGCACGGGAACCCTAATGGCGGTCACTGTACTTGTCTACATACAAGATGCAGTTGGTCGGAGCTGGGGTTATGGCATCTGCTCTGCGTCAATGTTGATTGCGGTCTTCATATTTTTGGCCGGGACTAAGAAATACAGGTATAAGAGAAGCCAGGGAAGCCCAGTAGTTCATATTTTTCAGGTTATTGCAGCTGCTATCTCGAAAAGGAAAATGGATCTTCCTTACAGTGTTGGCTCGTTGTATGAGGACACTCCTGAGGGTTTAAGAATCCTTCACACCGATCAGTTTCAGTAAGTTTTTTAATCTCTCTGCAACACGACACAACGAATTTTGGGAATAATGGCGCTAAATAATTTTAAAATTTATAGGACGATCCAGCTGATAAACCTTCCTTTAATAATCAATCTAAACAAATGCAGGATGCTAATTAGGCATTCTTTGTTGAATTATTGTAGTTGTTTGGACAAGGCAGCCATTATTAGGGAGGGGGATTTTGATAACATGTCCGGGTCGGGTCCAAACCCGTGGAAGCTGTGCTCTGTCACAAGGGTGGAGGAGGTGAAAATGGTGGTGAGACTATTGCCTATATGGGCCACAACCATCATTTTCTGGACTACTTATGCCCAGATGATAACCTTCTCGGTGGAGCAAGCATCCACCATGGAAAGATCAATTGGAAGTTTTCAGATTCCAGCAGGCTCCCTCACAGTCTTCTTTGTGGCAGCTATATTGATCACTCTTGCAATTAATGATCGTTTCATCATGCCTTTATGGAGAAAATGGAAAGGAAAACAAGGTATACGCAATAATCATCCCTAGTATTATATCATCATAAAAAAAACTGTTCAATTTATTACTATTCATAAGAGATTATAAATTCAATTGCTATGCTTTTTTATGACATCATTAAAAGATTGTGTTAAGATTCCTAAGATGTTATGAGTTTGATTTGTATTATGTGATTCTCTATGCCATCACTAAAAGATTGTGCGCTTTTCTGTGTCATCGTTAAAAGATTGTATTAGGATTCGTTAGAGATTATAGAGTCGATTCATAACGTGTCTTTCCGTATGTTATTATTAAAAGATCATATTATGATACATTTTTAAACAGGATTCTCGAGCCTTCAAAGAATTGGGATAGGCCTAGTGCTTTCGACATTTGGAATGGCAGCTGCGTCTATGGTAGAAACAAAACGGTTATCTGTTTCAAAGACTGTAGATAGAAACACTGAGATTTTGCCAATAACAGTATTCTGGCTCATCCCACAATTCTTCTTGGTTGGATCCGCCGAGGCCTTTATATACACCGGCCAACTTGATTTCTTTATAACTCAATCTCCCAAAGGAATGAAGACGATGAGCACAGGTCTCTTCCTCACAACTCTGTCCTTCGGCTTCTTCCTTAGCAGCTTCTTAGTTTCAGTAGTGAAGAAGGTCACTAGTAATACCAATGAACAAGGATGGCTAGCAGACAAAATAAACTATGGAAGACTTGATTGCTTCTATGGACTTTTGGCCATACTAAGCGTCATTAATTTTGTGATATATGTGATTTGTGCCATGTGGTTAAAGCCAAAGACTCCTCCTAAAATTGGTGTGCAGATGGAGACTATTAAGGCTTCCTCTACCGAAGAGATTTGCTAGTTAAAGTTTAGCTAGTGGAGTTTACTTGTTTTTTTAGCTTATTATATATATATATATATGTGTAATAGTCTGTCTTGCCAGGCATTTTGTATATCAAGAAATGGTTTTTAAGTTTGATTTTTCCATTGTAGTAAGTTAATATTGTGAGTTAAAGTGACTCTGAGATTTGATTACTTGATGGGAAATTTTAAAATAATTTAGTTTATCTTATTAGAAGTGTATGTAACAATTAAGTTTAAAAAATAAGAATATAATGTTTCTACCATTTCTATGATTCATGCGTAATGATTGAAATAATAAATTTTCACACTGTCTATAATTACAATCATCAGTAAGCACAATAGTTTAATGTTATTTTAATAATTTATATCGAAATACTACATTTGTATATTATAACTTTGATTAAACTATCTCAATTATAATTTTGAAAGTCTTATTTTTATGTTATTCAATTATTTTCTTAATTTGTAAACCCATTAATATTATTGTATCAAATACTCATTTGTGGCGCATAATTTAAATAAAAATATATTAATTAAACATATTTTTCACTAATATTATTCTTGGAACACTTGGATAAGGGTAGATAGTCCTCTTGCATATACATATACGTAATCTTACATGTGTTAATATCTACATGTATATATATATATATACCTTATGATAGTGTCCCGTCAGGAATTACATTTGCCAAAGGGGAAAAGGAAGTTCCTTAGAGCTATAAGTCAAAATCAATTGAACGATGAAAAATTCATTACGTTACATTCAAAATTAGATGCCAAAAGAAATATATATATGTATATATATATATATAACACGAATATACCATTCTTTTCCTTACCATATACTAGGCTTTCAGTAGGCAGCCTGATCAACCACGTCTTCCATATTCATTCCAGATTTGCTGATGCAGACACATCCCCATTATCCAATCTGTTTCTTGAAAGACAACAGTCATTCCACTGTCTTATTCTTTCAGCCATATTGGGAATCTTGAAAGCCTTTCCTTCTCTTTTCTACTTTAGCCGCAAATCACACACGTCCACTATCAACTCTAAAAAGCATATATTCTCTCCCCGAAACCTGTAAATTAAACTCCTCCAACGTGATATATACATATATATATATGCAGATCTTGGCCGAGATTCCCATACATATATATATATATATATATATGTATAAAGATGGTTGGCTTTTTCATGTATGGGCATCAAGCAACCGGGGTCTTTTCTTGGTTCAGGCTACAGCTACTGGCCGCCTGCCTGCTATGACAGGAGGATGTGGGCTTTTTGATAAATATGAAATTGGTGGTCCTGATCATATTATTGCTAGCTACATTATATGGCGACTTATATATACATGGTTAGTATAAGTTGACTAATTTTTAAGAGCTATTTTCTAGATTTTGTATGAAAATAGCTTTGAATTCACCTCCAAGGTAGTCGAACTCAAAAACTATTTGCAAATGGCTTTTCATTCCACGTCAAGTCTTTTAATTGCAGGTGCTAAAACTCACAAGATCAGATAATTTAATTTGATTTGGGCCTAGGCCCATTAACCTGGTCCGGCCCATGATGGGTTGGCTGTCAAGCCCAATAGGCCATATTTTTCTTATTTTTAAATTATTTTGTTATTAATTTTATTATCATAAGTTATTATGTTATTAATAAAATATATGATGCGTTACTCAAATTTTATATAAAAATGTTATATCAGTTCGATTTTTATCTCTTTTAATAAGAATAAATTATAAATAGATTTTAAATTTCTTACAATGATTAAAAATTTTAATATGGTATCTAGAAGGGTCATATTTAAATTTCTAATTTATAATGAAACAAAAACAAGTTTCTCTAAAAAAATAAAATTTTGTAATGAATGAAATAATGTCCAAACGTGTATAAGGGAATTGCAAAACTATTGGGGAAAAAAAAAAAAAAAAAAAAAACTCTGTTTCAAGAATCAATGGAGTAAAACTTTACATCAAGCTTGTGAATGTTTGTTCCCTTGTCTCTGCCGCATTAACGCGGCGGCCTCCTCGTCAGACTTGATAGCTTTCCTCTGCGCCTCCTGCTCCCTCAACGCCAGAAACTTGCACCGGTTGTAGTACGCAACACCTACAAAAGCAAGCCCGTAACCCGCCAAGTTCAACGGAGTGACGGTGTCCTTGATCACCGACCACGAGAAGGTAATCAGTAACCAGTCCTTGACGACGCCGGCGACGTTCATTGTCAGCGCCGACGTCTTCCCAACCAGCAAAAACACAGCGAGGTTCAACGCGAAAGCGCACGACGAGTTGGTTCCGAAGATAAGAACGTCGAAACCCGACACGCTAAACGTGTTCGACAAAACTCTCAGCAGTGGGAGCTCCACGAAAATCCATGGCACGAGCAAGAAGATGAAGCAACAGGGAGCCACGTAGTACAGTGTCTGGATTGGGTTCAACTTGATTCCTCTCGAATTAAGGAGCATCTCGATCATCACAAGCCTGGTGGCCTCGAAGACGACGGCGCCGAGTTGCAGAGCCACACCCCAGAGGTTGAAACGTGCTTCGCCGTAGGCGGCGACGGCGACGCCGAGCGAGACAGAAAGCATGTTGAGCATTGTGGTGGGCTTGAAACGGTCCCGTTTAAAGAGAAGGCTGATGGAGTAAACAGCGACTGGCATGAGAGCTTTGAGCATTTGAATGAAGGAGACAGAGAGGAAGATGTAAGCGGAGTTGGAGAGCCAGAGAGATAGTGCGTAGAGGGCACCGACGGGGATGACCGAGCGGAGATAGGTGGATTTAGGAATGGAAACTGAGCTGAAAATTTTGAGAACTCGGACAAAGATGAAAGCGAGAGTGGAGCAGAAAGCCATGTGGATTAAGGTGAGGGAGATGGGGAAAGACCAGTTGTATAACTGGGGATCGAGAATGTACTTGTTGTAGATAATGACGGAGAATGAGAGGGTGATCCAGATGGAGACGTAGGTGTAAGAGAGCAAGATTTCCTTTAAGACTCCACTGGAGGAGGAGGAAGGAGGTTTCTCCGCCATAGTGGCTTGCCGGGAAAGTTGCAGAGGGTTTGAGGAAAATATAAAACAAAAGCGCTTTAAGATCACAAAAAAGGGTTCTATATAAATTGTCTGACAAGAAAGAGTTTGAATTGGTTTAGAAGTCAAGAACATTCACTAATCTAATTTGCGTAGATTTTCAATTTGTAATGTTTAATTCTGTTTTTGAGAGCTCTTGTAATTTTAGGAGGAACATATGCATGGGCCTTTTCTGGGCCTAGTGGGCCACGTATAACAAGGCCCATATAAACTTTATCTAAGCCTTTAGCAAAATGAAAGCTGGGCTCAAGCTCTCAAAAAGTCAACTAACTTTCTTTCAACAATTTGCCATTAATAATTCAAAGAAGTTATTAAAAAAAAAAATCAGATTATTTAGGGAAGCATCAGTTGAAAAATATTTATAAGAATATTTAAAAAAAAAATTAAATTATATTATTATTTTCAAGTTAAAAAGTCAAACTTGTGAAAGTCTATTTAATAAGTGAATAAATGGACACTACCATAATAATTTTAGGAGAAGGAAATATTTTTTTCAATGTAAGAAAAATAAATATATATATATATATTTGTAATATATTCTTATTTTACACCTTTTATTAATTTTTTCCACTCTTATTTTCTCATTATTTTATATTGATTATCAAATTCTTTAGATTGTTAGCTTATAGTTTGTCGGTTTTATTTTCGTTAATTTATTTTATTATTTACTTTTACAATTATAATTTAATTAAATTATTTATTTTTTTATAATATTGTATATCGAGAACAAGTTATTCTTTTATGTATTTTTACTAAAAAATTATAACATAATTAATTTTATTTTTATTAAATTACACTTACCCAATTACAAATATATAAATTATTATAAACTCGTGGAATTTTAATTTCAAAATAAGACTATAATTTAATATGTATGTATATATATATATATATATATATGATTGTGTATGTAACATGCATATATATATAACATGGGGTGGTACTACAAAAGGCTGAGAAGTAGATGGGTCACCCAATCAACACCCGCACCAATTTTACAGCATTAATTAAATAATTGTACGATTTTCTGGGCCCCACCTAAATGAAATGCGATTTTCTCAGCTTATTGCGCTCCTCACTCCTCCACTCCTTTTTTTGGCCTTTTCTTACAAGTTATATCATTACCAGCTCGTTTCTTATTATTTATCAATACAAAAATAATTAAATTATAATTTTTAATTAAATAAACACATTATATTTTTTATATAAAAAAAAATATTATTTTAGTTAATAAAAAATAAAGTTTTTATTTATTTTAAAATCATACGTAAATTAATATTTTCGATATAATAAGAAAAACATATTAAAGGGGGTATTTATTTAAAATTAAATATAATTTTTTTTATCTACGGCTTATCTTTTTATATATTACATGTAAATATATTTTTTATTTATAATTATATCATTGTTTATTAAGTTTCTCAACTTACATACTTCAAATAATTTATATAGAAGAAAATTATTGAGTAATACCTGTAAATAAATTGAAGGTTATTTTCTTAAAAAAAAACAAAATGAGATAGGATTATTATAATATTATTAAAAATTAATAGAAATATTTTATTAATTACCTCTAAATTTTTATCTTTTAAATGATTTCTCACTCGTTTTATTGTTGTAGATGATAAAACTTTAGGTTTTTGAATAGGTTAAATTAGTTGCTTAGAGGTAAACATTTGTGATAAAATTTTAAATTATATATATAGTTGTGCGTGTTTAAAATAATTAAATAAAAAATATATAATAAAATATCATAATTATTTTTCTTATTCTATATTAATAATTAATAATAATGATAGTGACAACAATGATAATAGTAACAATAACAATAATAATAAATACAATAATATAAATAATAATGATAACTGTAGTGAATATAATAGGGTGATGGTGTTCGATGGTACTAGTAATGTCAACTACGGTAATAATAATTAAGTAAAAATATAGTATCAATTACAATGACATAAATGATAGTGATGATCATTATAGTAATAATAATTGTGTAAGTATAAATAACTATAACCTGTTAGCTAATGTTGATATATATAAGAAAAAATAATGCTTGATGACAAGAGTTGAATGATAATAATTTCATTAATACTAAAAATAGTGATTATAACTATAATAATTTCATCTACCATGATAGTCCAAATGGCTGCAGTGAGTAATATTTAGATAATTTCTCACTCAGTTTTATATTTATACTCAAGAATAAATATAAGAAAATATTATATGTAAGTATATGATATTAAATATTTATTATTTGAAATTTAATTAATTTAAATATAATAAAATAATAAAAATATTCGCTGTATAGAATGCACCTAACATGGGCGAGTAAATCATCTAATCTTACTTAAATTAGATTTATAATTTTATACTCACAATTATTTCATGAATTACAGATTTTATCCGAGCTCTTATACAGTCCCCAGCTACTTAATGTCTTGTCGGTTCTGAAAGTAGTCTTTTTTTTTTTTTTTTTTTTTTCTTTTGAGCAATACGGAAGTAAAGTTAAAGCTTTTCAAGTTGGTCCCGTAGTTAATTATCAAATTTAAAAAGGGAAATTTTTGTTTTTTTAACAAGAATCTTTTTGTCTAATTAATAATTAAGAATTACTTTTCCATCTCTCTCTTACAAATTCCATTGTTGCTCTGTGCTCAGTGCAGTCATGTTTACAGGCATAAACCCAAAATCATTTCTTCCTCCATCATCACTCTCAACCCACTTGGATCCCCACACACACAATTTATATGCACTCGATACTGAAACACAGATCCTCCTGCACTATACCCGATAACCCAGAAAACACCAAACGGAAATGAAAGAAAAAATCTCTCTTTTTCATCAATGAAGAATAATCTTTACCAGTATCTACGTACATGTATGTATTGATTATTGTATTATTTTTGGTAATATAGCTTTCATCGAGTTCTTCTCTCTGAGCGGTCACATGGATACCACGAAGCTGCAGCAGAACCAGAAGAAGAGAAGATGGTTCTTCCCTCTGATCTCCACTCTCGTTCTCTCCACTCTCATCGTCACTACCGTCCTCTCCATTTCCTCACCTTCCTTCCGTTTCGCTCGCCGCCGTAGTACCAAAGCGGTTAAAACCCGCCCGAGCTTTGTGGAATCCAAGCTTCAAATATCCCCAACCTCCACAGACCCAGTACCCAGACTAGCGTATCTGATCTCTGGCTCTAACGGAGATGGGGAGAGCTTGAAGAGGACCCTGAAAGCTCTGTACCATCCGAGGAACCAGTACGTGGTTCATCTGGATTTGGAGGCTTCGCCGGAGGAGAGATTGGAGCTGGCTAGGTTCGTCCGAGATGAGCCACTTTTTGCCGAGGTGGGTAACGTCAGGATGATCGTAAGAGCCAATTTGGTCACTTACAGGGGACCCACAATGGTTAGCAACACACTTCATGCGGCGGCGATTTTGTTGAGAGGCGGCGAAGAAAGGGATTGGTTCATTAATCTCAGTGCCTCTGATTATCCGCTGGTGACGCAAGATGGTATCTTTAGTTAATTGATGAAGCTTTTTGTTTACTTTTTTATTGTTGTAATTTTGAGTAAGTGGGTCACTGGGTTGTTTTGTTTGTTAAATGGGTGATCTTTGGTTTGCTTGTATAAAAAAAAAGTCTAAAGCTTTAATTTGGTTTCTGGGCAGTTGCTAATTTTGCTTATGTGGATTCTCTTTTGATGCATTTAGTCTCTTGCTTTATAAAGATGCCATTTTGAAGCTGTAATCTGGGATAACTACGTCTGTCAATACTTTCATATGCTTTTGATTTTTAATTTGTGATCTTATGAAAATTTTATTATTTCTTTAGTTGATTCCTTCTGCTCGTTGTTTTATGAGCTGGAGTTATAAAGTTCAACGTTCCGGGCATTTGTCTCTACGTTTGCTTGTCTTTCTCTCCGGTTTAGCTCTGGAAGTTTTTTTTTTTGTGTTTTTTGAATTGTAACCATATCTTGCTGAAGATCTATTTAATCTTTTCTACGAGTACTGATAATTGTTTGTAAAGTTCACAAACCTAACAACTCTACTATTACTTCTTATTGACCTCAGTTTCTGATTTTCCTCTTCTTCATGACAGATCTGCTTCATGCATTATCAGCTGTTCCAAGGCACCTTAATTTTATTGAGCATACCAGTGATATTGGTTGGAAGGAGTGTGTAACTCATCCTCTTTCTTTTTTTTTTTTGCTTTGTGGCTTTTTGGGGTGGTAAATATAAGTATCAAACGACACATTTGCAGTGTATATGTCTGATTTAAGAAATGTGTCCTGTGAGCTCCGCAGGTGGCACAGAGCCAAGCCCGTTATAATTGATCCAGGACTATATAGCTTGGAAAAGTCAGATGTGTTTTGGGTCACAGAGAAGAGGAGCGTGCCAACTGCATATCGACTTTTTACAGGTCAGAATTGATGCCTGTACTGTTTAGTTTGTTAAATGATATTTGCTGTAGATGTGATTAATATTGTTTAGAAAGTTGTAAAACAGATGTTAAACATTTCTAATTATGGAAAATTCCAGTTGAAGAAGGTTAACATGTAAACGTTGATCCAAGCTTGATTATCATGCTGATCATCAGCAGTATTTCCATGCTTCATCTTTTTTGCATTCTGATCATCATGCTGGTATAGTTTAGAGGTCATCTGGTATCTGCTTAATAATTTATTGTTAACGATCTTAAACCAAACACCTCTTTGAGTACCGAAGAATTAACATGGAGCCAATCGTTTGGCTATTAACGGCTGCTCAGAGTTCAATTTCACGATCTTGGATAAAACGCATATCTACCCAATAATTGAGTATTAGCTTTTGTTTAAACGAAATTTTACCTGAAGATGCAAATTTCTATTTTCCACATTCTGTCACCATTAATGAAATAACACCAATAGCGTGCTCCTGAAAATTTTGCTGAACAAGTCTAGTCGAATTGGACGTTGAATTCCTTGGCATCTTTTTTTTCTTTACCGAAAAGAATATTTCCTTGACCGAAGAATTATTAGTGTTATAATATCTCTTGATTTCACAATGTTAGGATTTTTTTTCATTTTTATGCTTGCATAATTTGTTATTTTACTCAGAAGTTAGATCACAAAATCGTGAATATTTATCTTAAAAAAAAATAAAATCGTGAATATAAAAAAAACTAGGGGAAGTGGGTTAAAAAGATTTGTTTTGTTCTGATGAAAGTTTAAATAACCACTTGTAAAAAATCTTCTCCTTCGGTTCTTTGTTTTTTTTTTCTGGTGGACAAATTTAAAATTCTTGTATTGAACTTCGGGTTATGGTTTATAGATTTTGTAACTGTTCAATCATATTGATCTCTCTGCAAATTGATTTCATCAGGTTCTGCTTGGATGATGCTCTCTCGTCCATTTATAGAATACTGTGTCTGGGGGTGGGACAACCTCCCAAGAGTTGTCCTCATGTATTATGCCAACTTTCTTTCTTCTCCGGAAGGATATTTCCACACGGTCATCTGCAATGTAGATGAGTTCCGAAACGCTACTGTAAATCATGACCTCCATTTCATATCCTGGGACAACCCTCCAAAACAGCACCCACATTTCCTCACTGTTGAGGACTACCAGAGGATGGTCGATAGCAATGCCCCATTTGCAAGGAAATTTGGTCATAATGAACCTGTTCTTGACAAGATTGACTCCGAGCTTTTGAGACGTAATGGTACTGGGTTTGTACCAGGTGGATGGTTTGACAAGGAAGATAACTCATCTGTAAGCAACTCCACCTACCTCAAGATAAACACCACGGAGCTCAGACCTGGTCCAGGCGCTGAAAGGCTCCAGAGTCTCATTACTGGTCTTTTGTCAGCTGAAAAGCTCCATGGTTCGCAATGTGTCTGAAACTGAAGGTCCAGTTGACCAACTTTGCTAGAACAGACCTCTCATCATAATGGTTCAGTTAATAATGGAAGTATGAGAATAGGAAACATACATAGATATAGGAGTAAAGGGGGAAGAGAAGCTGTCCCCAATATTTAGAATATATGTGATACATTTTACATTCTCTGCATAATAACTGTGTAGCTCAATCACTGATGTTCTAGTTCGATGTGTTAGATTCACAGGATTAATCAAATATGATGATTTAATTTTCCATTCCGTGCAGTACTGTTTATTTCAGGTGCTTTATGTTGTAATCAAATATCTAATTTAACGATTAATAACTCGATTAGAAACAGGTCTTATCAGTCTCCCCCAGATTCACTCTTCAGTAAGTTGAACAATCTTTTTCCCAACATTAGACCCCTTAAATATTCCAACAAAAGCAGAGGGAATGCTCTCTAAACCTCTTGAGATATCTTCAAGAGAGTGGATTTTGCCAGAGCGAAGGTAATCACAGGTCTTGGACATGAAATCTTCATATACATTCATGTTATCTACGCCTAAGAATCCTTGTATCTTAATTCTCTTGTACACCACAGCAAACATGTCAGGTGCAGCTCTTTTTCCGGCATCCGTATACTGGGAGATTACTCCGCAGACAGCCACCCTCCCGAACATATTCATGTTGGCGATTGCTGCTTCTTGCATCTCTGCTCCCACATTGTCGAAATAGATGTCGATACCATCTGGAAAGAACCTGCAGAATTAGAATGAAATAGAACAAGAACTGAATGAAGGACTAGTTAATGTCAGTCAACTGAAGCTGAATCACACTAAACAAAATTTTGAAATATGGGAATGATAAATGATTAACCTCTGGAGAGCTGCCTTTAAGTCTGGCTCTTCTTTGTAATTGAATGCATCATCAAAACCAAGTTTGTCTTTTAACAGTGCTACCTACAAATTCGAAGCCAAGAATTCTAATAGCAAGGTCAAGTTTCCATGTGAAATTTAGGCCTCAAATAAAATTAAGAGAGAGAGCAGAAGAATTATTGTGACCTTTTCTTTGCTTCCGGCAGAGCCAACTACGTAGCACCCAAAGAGTTTTGCATATTGTCCAACCAGATGCCCAACTGATCCAGAAGCAGCTGATACAAACACTTTTTCTCGTTTCTTGGGCTTACATATCTCAAAGAGCCCACCATATGCAGTTAGTCCACTGAATCCTGGAATTACCCAAAAAATATATATATAAATAATATACTTTCATGTGTATTTATTATTTGTTTATTTATTTATGGGTCGGGCAAAGGAAACTCTATATAATATTATATGTATTTATATTATATAATTTTAGGACTTTGTATATAAGGGTTTTTTTCTTCTGAGGAAATTAAATCATTAATAAATAGAGAGTACCCAGAATTCCGAGATGGTCGGATAACGGAAAGCCCATAGGATCTAATTTTCTTAACATCCCACCAGCTTTCACCACACTATACTCTCCCCAGATAAGAAGCCCAGCCACCAGGTCGCCCTTTTCAAAATCTGGGTTCCCAGATGCCACCACTCTGCCTACACCATAAGCATCAATCTCCTGCTAGCCAAAACCAACAAACGTTAAAAAAAAAAAAAATGACTGTTTAAGGGATGAACTTGGACAAAAAATTTAAAAAATACGGAACTAATTTGACCTGAAAACTAAAAATGTTTTCAAAAATCAAAAGCACATTTCAAATTTGAACTCATCAATAAACAAACTCCATTGAGCTCGACGTATTATTCATGCCAATAACGTTTATCTTTTGTACAATACTTAAAGGAACAAGATGAAGTCTTTGGTGACGATATGAGATTATACTTACCTCGCCAGGTGTAATGGCTGAGGAAAAATCTGAAGCTTTCTGCGATTCATCCTTGTTCTTCATGCGATTGAGCTGGTAAGGATCAATTGAGATGTATACATTTCTGACAACGGTGTCATCGGAGCCAGGCGCAAGAGCTTTTGTCTTGAGCTCGAAATCGGACTCTTGAGGTGCACCGTTTATGTGCGTCCTGATGATGATATACCTGTTGCTGATGGCTTTCATCGTCTCTACCTTTCAGTTTCTCACTCTCTGACCTCTGCAATCTGAA